ACAAACTTTTAGCTTACAGTGCCCACTTCTCTCATGTGTCCTTACGTTACACTGGATTCATTCAGAAGTTGTGTGGAAGTGCACTACTTCATCTATAGCCTCCTAATAGTGAGCTTGGAAATCAGTGAATTTCTTTCCATTTTTTCAAATCAAGAACGTTATGTAGAAGTCTTTGGAAGACCCTGTAGCAACCTTAGTAGCCCAGTAGCCTTATCTAGTAATAAATTCTTTAAATAAACACTCAGTCACTAAATCCTGAATATATGTTACTAACCTTTATGGTGATTAGTGAAAGCCTATACTGAAGCCTGGAAATAACCTGTTCCATGCTAGATGCTCCAATGAATCAAACCAAATACTCAAGAAAACCTAATACCTGCATTCTATTGCACAATAAAATAGAAAAGGAGATTTCAATGTATGCAGTTTTCAGTGAATTCATATTTTGGCATGTGTTGCTCTTGAGCCTTCTTTTTTACACAGTCTTACTCCAGTTCACATCATGGTCTCTCTCTCTCTCTTTTTTTTTTTGGGGGGGGGTAGGAAATCAAGATGATCAAGAGTTCTAGTAGCTACTAAATAAGTTGTTAAATGACCTAGACACAACAAATACTGCATAAAAAAAATCCAGGAGAAGAACTTCCCATGATGGAATATTGGTATATAATTGGCAGTCTACTTTTGCTTCCTGGGGAACACTCATTATACAAACCGCAACAGGAAGATGAACCTGAAGACGCTCAAAGACAAATTCCATGGGCATTAAGGACTTTCACACTCAAGATTATAATGTGTACGGTGGTAAGGAGACCATCCACAATAAAAATAGATTATTCTGCTCTCAAAGACAGGAAGCTATTCCTCGGACAACGTTAGTTTACATGATAATGCTGCTTATTTTCTTAAGCAGTCAGGCTAAAACATTTTTTCCATTATATTTCCATTAACAGTGACCAGTTAGGGCCTAAAATACAATCTAGCAAATCCGGTTTCAGGTAGTAGTGTACAAGGGTACTTAAGTATATTAACCTGTTGTTTACAAAGATAGTCACTCATGCATATTCTTCTGCTTGTTGCATCTACTCTGAGCCTAGTTGCAAATAAATTGTGGGTAACTCAGCTTGAGGTGAACCATCACTACAAAGACCATCTGCTATAGCACAGTGTAAATTCTCTCAGTTCAAAGACTTAATTGAACTTATCCTCATAAGCCCTGGCTGGATGAGGTGACTCAGCAACACTCTGTAAAGGCTAGGGTCTGTTATAAAAAACATTTGCTGGCTGAAATCCTGCTAGGCATACAGTATATTGTGGCAATGGCCCCAGAAGGTATTCAGCTGGTGTCAGGACGAGTCAGTATGGAATTATTATAAAAAATTACAAGACATTTATAGTAGTTGTTTGGACTCCAATTTAAAAAAAAAAAGAAATAGCTGGGAATGGAGACTGTGGAATATCTGTTCTGCAACAGCGAATCATAAAGATCTTGGTGTAAAATAAGCTTTGAATGTAATGAAACCATTAGCTCATCAGATCTGATCAGCTCTAGTGCAGAAGCATTCTGGGATGTTCGATGCTTATTCTTGTTTGTCACAACTAGTAAAACGTACCACAGACGTTTGCTGACCAGCACAACAGGTTTGCAGGCAGAACAAGTAAAAGATGAAGTAGTCAGTACCTGAGGACACACTTCATTGATTCTTTCTTGCTGAATCCTGCTTGTAACTCGCAAAGGCCCTCTTCAGTGATTGTTTACTACTATCTATAATATGCCCCACCATTTCTGTTATACACTTTGTAACACACTGAGTTGTTAACCACAGTTATTTGCATTTTATCTGGCAGAAGAACTCACATGAGTATCATTAACATCATTAATATTAGTTACAGCCTGAAAAAATCTCTCTGTACCAAAGAATGAGGTACAGAATCAGGGTAAGATAACAGCATTGTTTTTACTCCCTTCTTTTTAGACACTTGTATTTTGGTATATGAGGCATATGGGAGCTCAGTCCGCATATGATTTTTTTTCTTAAACCATTTCACCTCCTGAGCTCAGGCCACTTGAATGCTATTGTCCAAATGAGTCTGCAATTCATCAACTTTAGTAAGTTCACACCATAGATAAATTTGCTGCCTATAGTCAATCTGACACACTCCTAAATGTGGACACAAATACGAATAGAAATTAGCATACATCTGTAGTTTTGTATTGTTTTTTAATCAAACAGTTTGCAAACTTACTTTAAGAATATTTTAATCAGGCAAAGTCAACTAAGTGATTTATTTTTGAAAAATTCTAAGAAAGAAATCAAACAAAAATGGTGAGTTTGAATTCAAGCAGTTTGTTCTCACTTAAAAATAAATGTGACAAACATCAACACCAAGCAACGTACTTGCTCTCTATGAGCACATGAAGTATAAAACTAAATAATTCACCTATTTCTCAGAATTTCACAAGGTGAAATAATCTTTAATTTACCATTATTTTTGTGTTCATCTGAAATACAACAATGTGTACAGCCCATACAGAATTATCTGCAGTTGAAATGTTTCTCTGTGTGGATATTTTACTTGTAAAAACATTCAAGGAATGACTTAGTACATGAGATTATATAGTAACATCATTCTGTTTATTAGAATCACAAAATTCTATTAAAAGGTCAGATTCGGATACTATTCCCAAGGCTAATTGCTAATGCATTCAGACCTTAAATGGATATGGCCAGTAATTCTCGATTAAAAAGTCCATGATGTCTGAACTAGTCTTTCACTTACTATTTTGGAATCAGTAGTATGAAGTGTAAGTAAACAGAAATAAAAATATCACTCCTGCTTTTATAACAGGGTAATTACAGTGCTAGCCTATAAGACCCTAATCTTACAGACATTTATGGACTTACCTTAATTTTTACAGGTTGTTTAAATGATTCTCATGGGAATTTTCTAATGTATAAACCCAAGCATGAGCCTAAGTGCTTGCTGGAGCATGACTTACTGTGGTAGACCTATAGATTTTGCTTCTCTCCACAAACAAACAGCTGTAAATTTTCATTCCAGTTTCTACTGGACATTATTCTGGACATCTGGCTATGTATATCATATATTTTTAACAAATATATATATAAATACTTTCTAACCAAAGAATTTTACCTTCTTGATTTGGTCATTCTCATATGGATGGTTCTGTGGGTATTAACAGTACTATAACCTATCGAGGACTGCTGTACAAGAAATCCGCATGCACCTACATTGTCATGATTAACATCATGACCTTTAGCCAAGCATCCTAAGGCTTCATAGCAACAAAAAGTTTTGAGTTTGAGCTGACATGCATTCATTACATATACACAAACACCTAGCACATTGAAGAAAACCTGCTACAGTCAACAGGAAGCTGTGAAGAGTTCAGATTCCATCCAGGGGAAGACAGAGCCATATTTATCTATCTATCTATATGCATATACATTTTACAAAGTCAGCCCATAAACTTTCACATAACGCCACAGAGCAGAGGATGCATTGCAAAAAGTGAAAACATGTAACAGTGAGGACTGACGGGAAAGTAGAAATTAATTAAAATTAATTAATTTAATTAATTAAAATGACAGTTGTGCAGTTTTGGTGGGGTTTTTAGTCATGTGTAGTGCAAATTACTGCCATAGCATTAGAGAGAGAGAAAATATAGAAAGGCAATAAATGAATGCAGCCACGCTTTTTCTTTACCACCTAAAGTTGATGAAATTAATGTCTCAGGTTATTTATAGAATTTGTTGCATCACTGCATGTTAGGTATTACTATATGTATACATATATATATATAGTAACATAGCACAACCTTGTACGCTGTCTGTTCCAGTAACAGTAAAAAAAACATTTGGGGAAATAATGTCTTCTGCTAGACAAATTATAATAGTCTGCCCAGTTTTGAATCGACAGCACACAATATAAGGCACAGAAAAATAATTAATAACTAATATGGATCATTTAATAGGAGGCTATGCTGTACTAACTTACGGGAAATAAAGGTCCATTCTTCATAGACTAGTTTTTGCAGGAGTATATTTTAAAATTATGAAGGGTTTTGTTCTTCCTTAAGATCTTTCTTCCTTTGTGCCAGACCCAGTCACTACCAAAAGCATTCTAAAAGTTGAAAATTAAAGTATAGAATTCTTCTTGCTATTCTGGACAGTACGTTTCTATGTAAAGATTACCTTTTCCATTACAAAACCTGCAACTGTTTACAAGGCTGACCAAAGTAAGGGAAGTACAGGTTTAACAATGGCATTTATTTCAAAGGAACTCTGTAGTCTTTTTTTTAAATATAAAAATGTAAAAAATTCTATATATATAAACAAATATATAAAGTATATTATACCAGCTAATTAAAAATAGACTAACAGATTTCTGTGCGCTTCATAATACTGACTTGACTCAGCTACAAAGTTCACAGGTGTTTTGCAAATCACCATAGACACCTCAGTCTCAGCTCTTGGGTACAGGCAGTTAACTACAAGAGTAGTTTATACATGTTGCGATGAAGGTCTTCAATCACAATTCAGTATCAGTTATAGAGTGAAGCTATGATTTTCCTTTTGTCCTGTTGCTATGGAAATTCTTATTTTCATGTACTGCCCTATAGACTAAACTCATCATACTTGCCATGAAAATGGATTAAATTTAGATCTGAAACACAGAAACTCTGCAATAAAAATATTGCCATCTTCAGATAATTGACTTTCTGCAGTAAATTTAGTATGCTGTTGGCTTAATTTACTGTACTAAAATATCTGTGTAAAAACCCACTCCAATGTGAGAAATATACTCATTAGCCAAAAACTTGTATTATTAAAGTATTCAAAGGATAGTTATGTCTCCTCCAGATCAGATGACTGTGGATTTCCCATAGTACTCTGTTAAACACCTTTGGTGTTTGAACATCCCTTTACATGAGGTAGAGAGGGAGCTCTAGATAGTATGAAATTCACTTTAACTCTTACCAGAAAAGACACTGGGGATCTTGGAAAGAAAACTTTTGACTGTACGAATAGGAATCCCATTTTTCTCATCTTGCATGCGGGCTATGACGTCTTCCATCTGAACATAGAGAAAAAAAATAAAAGAAAGAAAGAATAAAGAAATCCAGAATTATTTCCCTAAAAAAATCTCTAAGAACCCCTACATCAGTCTCAGAATGAAAGGTCCACTCTTGTAATTTTTGTTTTCACTTAATAATTTCTATTTTTATTGAGTAGAATAAAAAACTGGAAATAAATTATTCATGGACAATAGTAAAGCAATGCTTATGCTCCAAAGTATCTTGAGAAATACTGAGGCAGAACAGAGGGGTTTAGTTTCAAAGTAATTAAAAAACTATTTCTGGATAAAGAACTTCACCTTGATTATGTCACTAGTATTGTACCAAATATAAAAGCAAAATAGACTCATGCAGTCTTCTAGATAACTGATACAGTTCTCAAAACGGCTGTTCAAATCAAAAGTAGGGCTCTTAAGTTCAAAGCAAAAATTCCTTCCTTTCTTTAAAGAGGAAAAAAAGAAATTACGATATGATGCACTTTTGCATCCCTGGAGACAGTAGACCCAGGAATACATGGTTTTTTATTGGTAATGGGATGAGTATGAAAATGTTGAAAATCTTTTTATTGTATTTTTGATACTTCCACATGTATTAGCTATTTGTTTCCATCTCAGTTTTGCAGGCTAAATAGGTCTGTACCTTTTGTAATTCAAACCCAAACCAAAGGCCTTTCAGTTTCACGTGAACTGTGAACAAGTTTTTTATTGCAGAACGCAAAGAAATTGGTCTCAGTGGCAGATAACGCCAGTTTTTATTCTTGCATATTTCTTGACTGAAGCTTACAGATTGGATAAGTTCCATCTTTCTTTCCTATCTCCAAATATCTAGCTTCTTACAATATAAAATGTAATTTGAGAAAATGCATTATGACTATCCCGCTTCATTCCTTGAGTCACCAACATACTCCATAAAAAGAATAGATCTTTGCAAGACTGTGCCTTTTATTTTATTAGTCAAATCTTAAAACATTGTCCTATCTTCCCTCTGTTCCCCATTAAGTTCCTAAGCATTTCATTAAATGTTTATGGCTGAACGGCATTGAAAAAATGTTCGTCAACAACAGACAAAATTCTGTTATGCACCTCTTTTTTGCAGAAGCAACATGATTCAAATCAACATATATATGGCATTAGATAGTTATAGCTGTGAATTTGCCCAGGGGGAGGTGTTGTACAGAGTCAGGAAAGGGGGAGTGAGTTGGGGCCCGGAGTGGTGCATGTAAGAGCAAAGAACAAAAATTTATGCCAAAAATAAAAACAAAATCAATTAATTCCACTGTTCATGCAAAAAAACCTGTTTGTACAGATAATGTTTGGAGGTTTAAATGCTCCATGTACATATGGAGCATACATGAACAACCCAAGGAACACAAATCCAGTGGCACAGTCCAACACAAAAAGTACATACAAAAAGTAGATATTGTTAGTACAGCAGAGAGCAAGACGTGGAAGACTGAGTCTATTGCTCACAATTAGAGAATATACAAACGTAATTCTGAAGAAGGGAACTAATGTTCATTGCAATCAGTAATCAAATATTGAGTCTGTTCATGACTTTTGTCTGCCATGCAATTTTAATTACTTAAATAGAAAGGGCTACTAACAATGTATTGAATAAATTGTCAAATAGACAAAACTGTTATCTCAGAAATGAAATCTGTCCTTACATTTATTATCCATATAGTAATTGAAGGCCTGTTTTGACACCTTCTGAATTCAACTTAGAGCCTGCCTTAATGATCTCCTAAATGACAAAGAAGTCAACTCAGATTCAGGTGAATATCTCTGCATGGATCTTGTATAGAAATAGAAGTAAACTTGATGATAAATTCCATACATGCAGTGTAAGCTTCCAGGAATATTGCTGGAACTGCAGGGCGAACAACAATGGATGTTACACTGGGACAGAGTTTAGAAGACAGTTTGTATTAAGGCAACATGATAAAGGTATATTTACACTATAATAAGGATTACTACAACTGCGGGACCCAGATCTGGAACGCAGTGTTACAAGGAGTGATATGCCACCACCTCTCTCTTGGGACTGCGCAAGAGCGCAAACATGCCAGGCGCAGCATTCCTAGTGCTCTCAGTAATTAGTCTTTTGAGAGCATACAGAATAAAACGTTAACTGACATTCACATTTGTTTTCCTAAACTGCCTTCATGGACTCAATCTAAAGTGCAGAAGACCTCACTCACACTATAGCTCTGGGGGAATTCTCTGGTTTTGATTAGCAAAGTGAGAACTAGGATGGCTGCTTTGCAAAATTACACCTTCCCCTTCCCTTCTAGCTCTGAATATCGTTCCACGTTAGCAGAAAACACCCTCCATGCAGAAGGCAGTTTACACTCCATACATCACTGCTGGGAACTGACTTGTTTATTCGGTATACAGAGATTACTGTATAAATGAGTGGGAATGTTCTGAAACAAGATATAACACAGCACCTGACTCCTAATCAGTTATAGCAGACCTGGGATTCTGTATGTGACTAGTCAGACTACAAAGGCTTGTTTGTCTTGTCTTAATTTGCACAAGAAAAAAAATCCTGTGTTTTGCAGTCATCTTAACCATTAAACATAAGAACTCATGAAAATTCAGCGCAGAAAAAAAAAATTCCAATTACAGATTTGAAAACATCTAATCCAACATATGTGTATGCACTGCTGAACTTCTAATATATGTAGTCCTTATTTCTGTTTCATCTGCTTTAAATTCAGCTACTGTGTAATCTCTTCCACTGCAAAATATTATGTCCTCATTTAATTACATTTGGGAAACAGCACTCAAGGCGCTTCACCACCATTCATCAACAATGACCTAAAACAATAAAACGGACAGAATAGTTAAATCAGGGTGCCAAAATAAAATCCTTGTCTAATTTTGCTCAAAGAAATCTAATCCGGGAAGCACAAGCTGCTGCCTGATACACTAATTTTCCTTCCTGATGTGTCACTGTTTGCTTCTGAGTCACCTGAAAAGATGCTCATAAGTGAAATATAAGCTCCCTCACTCTGCCTCAGAATAATGTTTTCACGGTTCCTTTACAATCTGCTTACCTGGCTAAACCTGACTGGCCTTGACAGTGCATTGGGACCTTTTTTAGCCCTAAACCATCTCAAAAAAAAAAAAAAATGCCACAAACAACAACTGTCTCCTGATCACTCTGCAAACAAAGCTCAACGTGCATGAGAAAAGGAAGTTACATAAGCACCTCTTTTTCAGTCATGTATGAAAGCAATGCAAGGCTTCTGCGGAAGTTTATTTAAATAACTGTAGGCTTAAAATACTTGGCCATTTGTTTATTACAGTGAGTGAATTCTAATCCTGAAAAAGCCTCAATAACTTTGTGAGGCATACACAACTCAAATACTAATATCCTATTTTAAGTTTGGTTTACAACTTCACTTGTCGTCTCCTTGTGAAAAGGACTTGACGTCTTGTTCTTCACATCTGAGGACTCTGTCCAAACTCTTTTAATGACTTAATTCTATGACAACAGTGACAATGCAGCTTATATGGAATAAAAGATGATCGCAAGATCCTGCAAGAGAAAGGCTACAGGAGGAAGGAGCTCTTGCCATGAACCATCAGACTACCTCTGATCCAAACTTGTTAAAATGTGCAACAAGTTACAACATGTAGCAAGTTCTTACACTATGTAATAAGTTTCCCTAGATGACTCCCCCCACCCCACCCCACATGCTTAAACACGTTAGCAAGACCCAAGGCAATCCTGTAACTGCACAGCAGCCTGCAGGAGGATTTTGTTAGCTAGCCCTGCACTCACAGATGCATGCAGCGCTGTGGGCTGAAGAAAGAAAAAGAGAAGTGTAGAGGAAGTTGCAAGATTCTTTACCAGGTAATGGCCATTTTTACTGTTTTCTAACATGCAATAACCAAATATTCTTTTCTTGTTAGTATTATATTGATAATGAATTACCTACACTGTTCTTACTTTCAGCTATATTCCTCTCTTAAAACCCCATTGTACTATATATTCTCTCCCTCTCTTACACACAGACAATTCTGCTACAAAACTTTCTGTTGAGACTCCCACCAGCTAAAAAGCCTAAAAATGCTCAGGATTCAGAAAATTTGGAAAAAAAAGTACTCTGCTGTGGTTCAACGAGGAGAAAAATCTGTATCTTTACATGAATGGCTAGACTACTTCTGCAGAGATGCACTTTGGGTACCTCGAACTCATTTTTCTTCCCATGTGGGCTGCTCTTTGCCTGAACTAAATATGCCAAGATTCATTGCAATCTCCTGCTTTAATCGAATCATCACAGTGCCACCTGAGAGCTGCCTAACACCCCGTGAATCACGGAGACTTTTGTTCAGCTAGTCAGTGAGTGTGCCTGACAGAGGAGAAAAGAGCATGAAACACCGGAACTACAACTCCCGTGAGGCTGCACTGACAAGCACAGATCCAGGCAAACTGCTCTCCAGAGAAAATAATGCAGTGTTGCACACTAAACTAAAGCAAATCATCTCAGGTCAGGAGTGCTGACAACTCCTTTTCTAAATCAAGTATGCAGAAGTGAAATAGTTTGACATCTCTATATCAAAGATTTTAGCGTTTTTTAATTCACACAGAATTGGGTTGTTTCAACTCTGCATTCCTATTCAGAATGAACAAAGGTTGCAACATTCACATTTCCAGAAAAATATGTTTAGATTTCTGATTAAAGCACAACACTGAATGATGGCATAAAATGTGTAATATTAACCAAACTGGTCATGACAGACACTTGAACTATCTGAGCTTGCTAAAAGTCAGGGGTTCTTCTAGATCAACAACAATACTTCTCCAGTCTACCAGCATAGGGAAGCTGCCACAAATACTTTCTGCTGAGCATTAAATTAGAGTAACTTACTCTGTGACAGGAAGACATGTTTTTAGACTGGTCTCAGATTCTTTTTAGAACCTGCATTTGCAACAGTAATTATTTGAAACAGTAAAACCAATGACAAATCAATATAAAAATTCTTAA